GAGATGACCAAGACGGGGAGATTTTTAGGACATGAGGAACGTGAATTACGGGAATGACTTTGTGAGATTGGACGAGGGATTTGACTAATTTTCTGGCGTCTTGACTGGGCAGTTGACTGAAGGGGTTTCTACGCGTGGATCCTTCTTTCTTGTTCTTCATGTTTGTCTCTTTTGACCGCAGTGCAGTGGGGAAACACAAGAAGGTTTGTCTCAACCTCTTAACCTGGGCTCCATTTGATCTTTGATATTCGGTTAAGAGGTAACTTCACTAAAAAAAGGGAGCCGAGGCTTTCACGGGGCCTCTGCGGCCTGTCCTGTAACCGGACGGACTCAATAGATGCATTCCTAATTTTAATGTACTGGTATCCGCACGCCCTGTAACCCCCAAATCCCCCTGAATCTTTGTCTATCCTAAGGTGAGGGAATACCCTCTAAGCGTTTTACATCCAAATGATTCCGAGGTCTGAATTGGACTGAGATGAAATTTTTTAAGGACATGCTTAGGTCCACGTTTTCCTTTTATTTTGTAAAACAAATAATTAATTTAGTATAAACAGGGGTTAGGCTAGCTGGCACTTAATTGTCATTTGTGGTGTTGAACTTTACTCCTTTGAATTAAGCATATCTTGACCGGCACCTTCAAGCACTTTCTCTCACGTAGACGAATTTTATACGATAGATCGATAACTTGAAATGAGTAAATTTGATAATGGATGAAAGAAAATAAATTTAACTCAATCCGTGTGTGCTGCCTCAATGGGCACGACTCAATCTAAAATTTTAACAGGTGTGAAAATGATCGAGAATTTAATACATGAACCACGATTGTAACATGTACAAAAGTAATGGTAAATTTTGCTAGGATTAAATCTTTTTATCCCAGGAAATGCAATCAAATAAACTATGTGTAATGTTTGACTCTTGAGTCGATTCAGACTGAAGAGTCCAAAATGGGCTACTTGTTATGAATTTTGTGGCGTCTCGCAGCTCAGAATTTTAACTCGTTAATTTATCGGCCTTTTAGAAACTTCTCAAAGAAAATCTAAGTTTTATAATCGAATGAGATGGATCAAGTTGATGGTTGCAGAAATTCGACGGAATCGAATGGCCAGAAGTTTTGATCAGTCAACTCTTGACTTTTTGTGGCATTCTGAAAATCTTTGCTTCGTCATTTTGAGTGTTGGTTTGTTCCATAGAGTCTTTTGATGAACTACAATAACATGATATGCATGGGCTCGCAATACATGGTAAATTTTAGGAAATCATGAGATAATAACTTAATCTACATATTTGTCCCTTGACAGTGGAGAAAAGGAAGGTAGAGGACTAAAGTTGAGTTAATCTCTATTATAACAGTTGGTTCGCGGGAAAATTACCAAAATAATCATAAACCTATTGCAATTGTGCTAATTCAGTCCTAAACCTTTTTTTTATGCCAATTCAGTCAATTTTGGCTGGCTGACGCTGACGTGGCAATTTTTAAATATTATTATTTTTTCGAAATTTTTTATTTTTTCTTTTCTTTTCTTTTTCCTTTCCTTTTTTTTTTCCTTCATCTTTATCTTCAACTTCTAGCCGGTCGCCGGACCGGCGACTGGCCAATGGTGGAAGTCGGCGAGGTCGGCCCCACCGGTTGCTAACGAGGCTTGACCTCGCCAACGTTGGGCAATGCCGATCTCACCAGTTGTCAACGAGTTCAAGCCTCACCAGATCTGGTGAGGTCGGCCTCGCCTGCCCCTGGCGAGGCTCAACCTCGCCTTTGTTGGGTGAGGCCAACCTCGCCAGAGCGATGGCAAGGATGATCCCTCGCCAGATCTGGCGAGGCTTGAACTCATCGGCAACTGGCGAGGTCGGCCTCGCCCAGCAACAGAGAGGTTAGCCTCGCCCATTGTCCGCAAGGTCAAGCCTCGCCAGCGGCCTGCGGGGCTGACCTCGCCGGCTTCCGCCCAGCAACCGGCTAGAGGTTGAAGATGAAAATTAAAGGAAAAAAAAAAGAAAAGGAAAGGAAAAATAAAAGAAAAGAAAAATAAAAAAATTAATAAAAATTTCGAAAAATTAATATTAAAAAATTACCACTTCAGTGTTGGAGCGTCGGTCGGCATCCACGTCAGTGCCGGCCAGCCAAAATTGGCCGGATAGATTGAATTGACACGAATGTAAAAGGTTTGGGATTGAATTGGCACAAAAAAAATTTACGACTGAATTGGCACAATTGCAATAGGTTTGTGACTGTTTTGGTAATTTTCCCATTGGTTCGCCGGAGAGTTTTTCGGTTATTCATGGAAGCTTAGGGTTTCTTTGTTGCTAATTTGGAAGAGTAAAGCCGAGAATCGGTGTGTAACCATCGAGTGATTTAAAAAACCAATTAGGTTAGACAGAGCAATTACATTGCCCCATGTTATTCACCGAGTAAATTCGAATTACTAGCGATTTCTCAGCTGCTTTCAATCCATCGGGGAACATTGATCTTTCCCTTTACGACTGACGAAGAAGGTAAGAGCTTCGGTTCGTATTTGGCGGAGCAGTTGGCATGTTAAGTGTTCGACTTATGTCTGAATCAAACTTGAGGGTGAAGAAGAGACGAAGATAGAAGAGCAAAGCAAAATGATGATGATCGTGATGAAAAATATGGGTTAAATTGGTAATGTGTTGGGTCGGTTCAAGTCGCGAAAATTGTATTACATAAAGATATGTTGATATAGGTTAAATGGATTAATCTGGGCGAACCCATCTTCGACCCTCACAAATTTGACATAACCCACCTATTTAACAAGTCTAGTACAGACACCCAAAAAGAAGAAGAAAGTCTGGAGCACAAATACTTGGAGTGAATCGAATTGTGAGTCTATTGAAGATGATGTAGAAGCAGCCAACTTCTACAGAACCAATAGTAGATGAGGTAGAGAAACTTTTGTACTCACTGATGATGAAATGCATGACTTTCATAGGAAAACGTTTGCTGAGTTGAGAAATGTTTCTGAAAAGACTACTGAGCTCAAAAGAGATATTTCCTTGGTTAAACGACGAGGAAAAAGAGTTCTACAAGAGGAAAGAGATCCCACCATAGAAAAATGCATCTTTCTGCAGAATGACATGCTTTTGAAAAAGAAGAGGATATTAGACTCTGCATGTTACTAGCATCAAAACTTTTGTTTAAATGCCCTGTTAAGGTGAAGTGAGATTATGGGAGAAAATCCTTGTGGATGCCAAAAAAGAAATGAGTTTCTTGTAAGTACATGAATGAAAGAAGCTGAAGAGATTGAATTTTGGTGGAACATTCAAAGGAAAAATCATTCAGCAAAGCAAACATCAAGCCTGGAACTCTCGTCACTGAAGATATGACTTTAGTCAAAAGCTTAAATCACAATTTATTAAGCATTAAACAACTTTGTGATAAGGGATTTAAGATCAACTTTGAAGAAGGAAAATGCATTGGCCCGGATAAATATCAGAAATGAAAGTTCGTTGGAAAAACTGTATGTGAGCGTATAGTTAACGTGAAAGAAGTTAACCTTCTGTAGAATCACTGCCTTGTTTCTGTAAAAGATGAAAGCAGGATTTGCAGATTCGGCACAAGAAACTTGGATGCAGGAGCCCCAAGCAAATATCAGAACTATCCAAGAAAGATCTAGTGCAAGGATCGTCTAAGATTAGATTTGAAAAAACCGAGATATGTGAAGGTTGCACTATGGTTAGGCAAATTAAAAGTTCCTTCGAGTGAAAAAAGGCTGTTTCTACCGACAGAGCTCTACAGCTTTTACGCATGGATTTATTCGGACCAAAAAGAAGTAAGAGCCTTGGTGGTAAGAAATATCGCTCGGTGATTGTGGATGATTACACAGGGTGTACTTGGATTGTGTTTCTTGCTCATATATATGAAGCATTGTATTCGTTCACGAAGTTAGCGAAACGAGTTCAAAACGAAAATTAGTTTTATGTGAACTGGGGAAGAGTTTTGATTACAACTTTTCTGCTCCTTGTACTCCACACCGAAAGTGGAGTTGGAGAAAAAAGGATCGTTCTTTACGAATCATGGCTTGTACAATGCTTGTACAAAGTCATAATCCTGCCTACTTTTCGGCAGAATCAGTTAGTACTACATGTTATATCAACAAGTCATCAAAGATTTTTGCTTACCAAAAATCCCTTTGATCTAGAAAGCCATCATTTCATACTTTGGTATACTTAGACGCACTTGCTATATTCTTAGAAGTGTAAATTACAATATTGGCAAGTTTGATCCCAGATCGAACGAAGGCATCTATCTTTACTATCTAAGTAGGGTTTGACAGTACGATTAACTGATTGATTGATTGATTGATTCTCTCCATTTACTTTTGATAGTTACAGCAGAAGGGCTTTTCTTCGGTCCGTGGAAGGACCTGGACATATCGAACCACATCTCCTGTATTTGATCATCCATTCCCCAAAAGTAGATTCACAATAATAATTCGTCATTATTTCGTAATAACAACTTCTATTGCAAAAGAAGTGATTATTTATTTCTCAGCAAAGTCTCATTATTCTTGGGCACGGCATGAAACGTTCAGTCATCGCAGTTAACAGTGTGCAGTTCATAGTAAGTTATCCTTGCTTATATCTGTTTCCGTCAGTGTCCAATGGACGGAAGATGGTGTTGTAGTCCAGATCGAGCCCTCCATTGCTGCATTGGTCGACAATCCTCGCGGTAAATAAAGAAAACTTTGCGCAAGTAGTCTAATTCACGCATGATTTGGGGATTTCAACTACCCAATCTCTCACTAATCAAGAAATGGAGGATACATAAGGCCCGCTTGGAGAAAAATAATTTTAGATTGGCCATGTAGGGTAGAATTACTTCATATATATTCCAATGGCAATCTTAAAATCTGAAAGTGAGACGAATGACACTTTTCGTTTGATTATATAGATACATTGCACTAAGATCTCAATTCATTGTCTCAAACTCGAAATCGTACATACCATCTATTTAGCCAAAAGAATTGAAAAAAAAAAGAAAAGGAAAAAGGAAATGTAGTTCTTTATTGGGAAGACAAAGAAAAAATGAAGACAATGATCATTTGATCATGAATAGGCGAAATGCAGATCTTTTTTCATCTGCATCTTTTACCCAATTACAGAAATTAATGAAAGCAATACAGTTTAGATGAAGGAGGAGAACTTCTTTCCTAACCAAAGTTATAATGAATTGACATTATGGAAATGTCATTCTCTTAACCTAAGAGATAAACATGGAAAGCTACACAATTTTTTTTTTCTGTGAGGCTATTAGAAAATCATTGGAAAGAGGAGACCCCGATTTAACCAAACCGTTCTCCTTCTTTCCTGCTTTTGCATCTACAACATGCCATCCCTGTGCAGCCTCACTGAACAGGCCACAGCCTGAGCCCAATGCCTCAGCTTGGTTTTTACTTGCTGTGGATTTTCCCCTATAAAACAGATATCAATCGCCAAGAGCATGTCTTCGTTAATTACAACACGAAAAAGAACAAAAATGTTAGAACATACTAGTGATTTGGTGCATAGAGGATGTGCGATCAGGTTTTACTGCAAGAGGAAATTCTTTAAAAGCAAATTCATTCGCCGAGCACCATCAGCCCATTTGAGAGTCTGAGATTGTCTTCACATTTTCTACATATATAATTAAAACTTACCCGGACTACAAATCTTCCATGTGTCGGAATCACTCCTAGGACTGCCAAAGGACGAAGAACCTCCGCCAAGCGAGGACGATGACATCGAAAATGACAGCGATGATCCATGGCTTTGCGGCGTCGATACTGGACTCGGCGACAACTGCCTGTTCACGGCGAAGTAAAGGTCAAGGGCTGGCAAAGTGTTGCACAAATCTTGTACACCCTCCTCTTCTTTGAACCCAAACCCTAGATCTATGCATCCTTTTAGCTCATTCAAATCCTCATCGGTAATATCCCCGGAGTTATTAATCCCGTTTTTCTTCCTTTCTTGGTGAAGGATCTGACGCCTCCGCTTCTCCCACGCAATGTCCCGTGGGGTCTCGCACATTGAAAGTTGTTTGGATAGGCACTTGCGGCTATTCTTCTTAGCCAGGCCAACTGGAATCTGTTGTAGCTCTTCCCCATCCGATCCGCTCAGGGACGACAAGGATGGGGATGAACATGAAGACAATAAAACAATGTGGCTTTGTTCAGGCTCTTCTTTATTCATATCTCAGCGACTTTGAGTACGTACCTACCTTCCAGGGCTTGGGGTATGTCGTACGAATTCTCTCTGTCTGATTTCTCGAGTCGTTCGACCCGAATGTCAATGTATGGGATTGCCTGGGCCGTGGCAGCGTGAAGAGCCGCCCGGCCAGGAGGCAGTGGTGGCAACGAGGTGGAAATGGCAAGTCTGGTTGGTGGGTTCTATATAAGAGGAGAGGTGACTTTTTGTTATGTGATCAAACAGAACCAAACCAACCAGCTCAAACGGGAGGAGTTTGGTGGCGGTGGTGATGGTGGGGCTTTAATGGAGGCCCTCATCGAATCCCATCCTTTGTATAGTGTGGTTGTTATTCCACACCATCCATTTCTAATATGAAACTGGACAAATTTAGGAGCTTTGATGGTTTATGTGTCGGAGGGCTCAGCTTCTTTCGAGGGAAAGTTAGAAGCATGAACCTGATAACTGCTATTAAAAACTGTCCATTTTGGAGACTAACGTCCAAGGACGAGACAATGCAACCTTCAACATTTGCATGCTTAACATGCACGGAGTCTTTTTCTTGCAATGATACTGTTTAAGAGCAATTGCTAAGGATATTAAGCTGCTCGACAATCATGAACCTTTTTTGCTTTTCTCCTGAAGTAGTATTTTGGCGACAAAAGATTGTGAAACAGATGAGAATTGATTCTGTTAAAATCGATAATGGAAAATTCCTTCTGTAGTACTGTAAATTTAAGTACAAAAGTAAAGCAAACTGTATTTTAAATTAATACTCTTACTTAATTAGATTCTATGATTTTATCCCAAACAATGATCCAACTATGCTGTTTCTTAAGTAATTATAATGTTAAAAAAGATGAGAAGATTGTCCCAAGCCTTGTTATATATACAGGATCGCTCTCTAGATTCTCGATTCAAATCTCATCATTTAATTCAATTCTAGATCCAAATGATACATCTTTATTACGATCATCAACCAAATGTTGAACCTCAAGTGAACCTAGTAAAATACCGTTGAATCTCCCACTTTGATATTAATATGTCGATCCTATCAATATACAAGTCCGCGTCATATTTCATAATTTATGTGATATTTTGATGGAGTGAGAACCTTTATTTCCATTCATGTCTCCATTTGGCTTCTCATTCATCCCAAAAATTGAGCCATATGAATATGGGTACCTGTGACATTATGACTCATTATACCAATGGTTGAGATTTGTTGATATTGATGAGTAAAACAGCTTGTGATATCTGATCATGCTGTTTAAGAGTTGATTATAGCACCAAATAATATTTTTAGTCCTAAAGTTGTCATTCGCTCTTCTTACGGTTGATCATTGTTCACTATTTTTTGAATCTTGATGACACAGCAGATGTGAGTTCCCCTCCCTTCTGCCGATGCTGCCATCGGGACGTCCGCCTCCACCATAAGCTACATCTGACGTAGAAGCACCGCTGCTTTTACCATAAAAGAAACTAGGGGAGTTCTGGAGAAATGACGGTTGAAATCAGCGGAAGCGCTTCTGAGGTTCAGATAGCACAGCAGCCAATACAGGAAACGATCATTCGGCCCCTGCGAAAAACGCTTTACAAGTAAATGCAAACCACACCTACGAGTTTGATTTGAAAAATCTCAGTTCCCCTTTGTTTCTTGGAATTGGCTTGAGTACATGCACCATTTGTGTGCACGTCTTTATTGTCACACTTCAATAAAAACTTTCCGAGTTTCTTTTGTTTCTGCACCCAGTTCCCACTTTGATGCGCTCGTGCGCGCAGATATGGTGGTTTGTTTTCGTTTTCGCGTTTCATGTTAACGGCGAATTGTTTTCCACTGCAGGATTCTATCGCTGAAGCGGCCGCAGCAGCTCAGACAGAGAGACTGCTGCTTCGTCAGACCGAAGGTTACAACACTTAAGCATCTCTCCTAAATCCAGGTCATACTGGAGGTTATGGCATTGATTATGGTCAACTTATGGGCACTAAGCCAGGTTGTCGGTCTCCTCTTAAGCATATTTTGGAACGACCGACTTCACCATCTCCGTTTGATTGGAGACTACATATGTACATTTTAATGTTTCTGTTCTGATACATCTAATTTTATGGCTGTTCATTCCGAATAGAGTATCAAATGGAGGCAAGCCAAGAGCATCATTAGGAAAAGCTCTCCCAACGAGTAATATCGTGGCTATTCATATGTTTGCAATCGATACCGCATTATGATACAATTGATTCTCGATTTAAGATACCGCATTCTAATACAATTAATTCTCGATTTAATAAATTTTGGCCTAAGGTTTGGTTGAGTCAATGATTTTTTCCTTGTTTTAGAATAATTTGATTGTCGAATTCATCTAAACACCTCTTTAAGTAACCCAACATGGAAAATGTACAATTTTCAAAACACTTATTTCCGCATGTTATGCTCACCAATGCTTTGAAAGTTGAAATTTACTTAACAAACGTGCCAATGCCCCGAGGGGCGCTCCTTAACAAAACCTTATTAAAAACTAACCCATCAAAGTCCAGGTCTCTACTTTTATGATCATTTGCTTCTTAATCGAATTTCTTTCTTTATCGGCTTTTTAAGTATTGAATTTCAACGACTTTATCCGCTACGTGATCAATAATGATATGTTCGATAACGTGGTAACACGATATGACATGATATAGGATCACGAATCCTTCGAGGAACATTTGCTGTATCCAATGATATTCACGTGCATTTCATCTCAATCGTCATGTCACGCAAATTCTCGAAAAAGTTTTCAGACTGACAACTGAAACCAATCTCCGAGGAACGGTTCTTGGACCGGTTGAAGAAGATCCGGGGGTTAGATGTGTCTTTTTCCGCATTCATGTCGGTTGGCTTTACCTGTTTTTGGTGGGCAACACTTTGTCACCGGTTGTCGTTTTCTCTTCTCGGATCAGCGGCCGACCTTTCATGTCTTTGGTCGGCGCGCTTTATTCACCCATCTTTTCTTCATTTCTTTCTTCGTTGTCCATGATCCAACCGACGAACGTTTATGTAGAGGCCCATTTGGCATTTGCTCCTTTAACAAAAGAATAATGCGTCCATGACTGTGGTGCGGAAAACTACGTGCAATGCAGATTGTGATTCGCTGTAAAAAGAGAGAGAGAGAGAAAAGCATTGGAAAAGGCTCAAACTTTCGGTTGGCATTTCCCATAAAACAATTGACCCAGTTCTTGGCTTGGCTTGGCGAGTTCGAGAGATTGATGGGTTGATCGATCAGTTTTGGAGAATTCCCAGGAGCCCGTTGCGTTGAATTTCCATCGCATGAACAGGTGGGGCGTCTCTGTGTCTTTTTTGTTCCGGGTTCTTGATTTGAATTTTCACGGGTTGATCATCGATTCCATGATCCGACTGTTTTTCCGTCCGTTATGATTTCCTTTGTTCTGATTGATGAAAGATTCCGTGTGTTCGTGATTGTTTGGTTTCATTCGCTGGAAATTTTTTCGCCTTTGCTGGTGTGATTTTTGGGTGGTGATTTTTTGTCTGTATGACAGTTGATTCTGTCTTCTGCAAATAGTTGGTCTTCTTTCAGGGGAAAATTTTAGTGTGCGTTAAGCTTGGATATGTGGCCAATTACTTTAGAAGCTTGTTCTCTGATTGGACATGGTTTTTTTTTTTTTCAAAGAATCAGAGAGAAGAAGGTGAAATGTGTGGGTGGCAACCTCTTTTCTAGTTAACCCTTTCGGAAGGTAAAGAAACTGTTCTTGATTGCCGTCAAGAAAACGGAAATGAGGTTATATAGTTCTTGGCACTCTCGTTTTCTTTAGCTGAGCAATGAAATGGAAATTATGAGAAACATTGAGCCCGACTTTCAATTGGAATCATACATACTTTTAAATTTATGTTGCAGGAGAGTTCTGTAGAACTTTTTTTAGCAGCAATCTATCATGCACACTATAAAATGGTTCTTGAGCTTGTTGTTTGGACCATTTGTGTTACCTGCTTACAGAGGCTCATACACTTGCATACAACTATGGGTGAATGCTTTGCATGTATCATGATACTGTTATGCATAGCATATACATCTACGTGAGTCACACACCATCGTAGGCATGTGCATCCTTTGCATGTGTCCCGATAGGAAGAAGGGTGTCAATGCATCACATCTGAACTATATTTTGTACAAATGAGTGTAGGATTGATATTTATATCTTTGCATCATTGAATAAATTTTTCTTTCGCTGCTTGTCACTTGCTGCAGGAGCAATCTGGGACTGAGCCTATTAATTTGTTTTTGGGAAGATTGGACGTAATTCTGTTACTCTTTAAGTTTGATTCTCGAAGTCACTTGAATTTTTCTGGGCATGGCTGCTGGAGAAGCCTCTCATGATAAACTGGAGAAGATACCCCGGGGATTTGCAGTGGCTTTGTCATCAGCAGTTCTTGAATGGCTTCTCATATTTGTGCTCTTCATAAATGCCCTTTTCTCGTACTTGATTACAAAATTCGCTTGTTATTGCGGGTTGCAAACACCTTGTCTTTTGTGCTCTAGACTTGATCATGTTCTAGGTGATAAAAAGGTTGGATTTTATTGGGACATGATTTGTGGCAACCACAAGTCGGAGATTTCATCCTTGGTTCTCTGCCATGCTCACAATAAACTCGCTGATGTTCATGGGATGTGTGAGAATTGCCTTTTCTCCTTTGCTACAATTAACAAGTCAAATGCTGAAACATACAGATTGCTGGTGGGTAAATTGGGAGAGAATTCTAATATTGAATTGGAAGAGAACATCTTTTCTGAGGATCATAATCTATGTAGTTCAAGCAGAACGCGTTGCTCTTGCTGTAATGAACCATGGATTTCAAGAGGTTATGCCCAAAAATTGGTGCTCACGAAATCAAGTGGGTGTGAGTTTGTGGATCTAGATGTTCCTTTATCAGGCATTGTTGGATCCTATCAGTATAGCCTGAAGAAGAATGACGAAAGAACATTACAAGGAGCTCCTCTCCAAAAGGATGGTGGACTAGATTCATTGTCTCATGTAGAATACACCAAGCTCAAAATTACTTCTGATACCGAGTCAGATGTCCTGTTTTCAGATGATGATGAAACAGCCATTCGGCATCTTAAAGCAGTGTATCTCAAAGAAGAATCTGCAATTGATTGTGCTCCAATCAAGCCTCTAATTGCAGTACTAGGTGATGATGCAAATTCAGAGAAACTTATAGATCTGGCTTCGTTGAATGAACGTTCTCCAGCTTCCCAAGTGCAGTTGGATGTTGTTGAGGCTCCTGGTGGGAACTCCGTCGCATCTACTACTGAACATGGCTTGGGTGAAATTAATTGCCAGGGTTCTGATAATTCTGATACCAATGCCGCTTCAGCTGCTCTACCTGAACTTATTTCCTTTGATGACATTCCTTCTGCGGCAAATGACACGAGCACTCCTGAGAGAGTACTAATAGAGAGCTGTAAGTTTTGATTCTCTCTCTCTCCCTCTCTCTCCCAAGACAATTAAGAATGTTTATTGTGATATAGTGTTCATTAACAAGAGACTATTACATTTCCATTTTGGACATTATTTACTCATAACACTCTAGCTTGTGTTTCATCTATCTGTGAGCCAACTAAAACCGTGGACAAGTAGTGTATATGCCTTTTGCATCACAATTTATGCAATATATAATTTCTTCATCTTCTACTCGATAAATAATTTCTCTATCGTCTGATGCTTCTATTCTAGAAGCTGGAGCTTATACTGCATAACCATGTTTGTTTTTCCTTGGAATTTGGAAAGAAATCACTGTTGTCTGACTGAACTTGAACTCAAATGCTTTTGTCACTTTTTTTTGGGATTTGTAGCTGTTAAAGAGTTGGCACTTAAGACAATGGCCTAATCTTTTAACGAAATAATTTATCTGCACAGGTGTTACGGGAGCTGATGAAGATGAGAGAACAGCAGCAACATATTCTGATGGAGCCATTAAGGAAGAGACTGACCCAATTGCAGTAATTGACAAAGCCGAAACAAATATTGTATGTACTGACCATATTGCACAAGCACCAAATTTTTTGGATCTTGGCGATGCCTATAAGATAGCTGTAGGCAACAGGGGAAGGCAGTTGTCCGATGTGCTTGCTGAGCAGTGGCTAGCCAAGGATTCTTCCAGAGTTAGTGAAGACTTGAAGAACTTGTTCTCTCAGTTATCTGCTGCTCGAGGGTTTGAGCAATCTGTAAATGATATTAGTCCAAAAGTGTCTACTAACAGTGATGAATTTAGAACGTCTGATGCTCCTAACTCAACTGCATTTCAGGTCCTTCAAAAGAAAATCTCACTCGAGAGAAATGAGTCTGGTCTTGAGTCTTTAGATGGGAGCATAGTCAGTGAGATTGAAGGTGAAAGTGTGATTGACCGATTGAAACGTCAGATTGAGCATGATAAAAAATCCATGAGTGCCTTGTATAAGGAGTTGGAGGAAGAAAGAAATGCCTCTGCAATTGCTGCAAATCAAGCCATGGCCATGATTACTAGACTGCAGGAGGAGAAGGCAACACTCAACATGGAAGCATTACAGTATCTTAGAATGATGGAAGAGCAGGCTGAATATGATATGGAAGCTCTGCAAAAATCAAATGACCTACTTGCAGATAGGGAGAAGGACATACAAGATCTTGAAGCAGAGCTTGAATTCTACAGGAATAAGTACTCGGACGAGCCATTGTCTGAGAATATTATGGAGTCGGTTCATTTAGAGGCCAGTAGTCCTGAAGTTACTGAAAAAGCCAAGGGAAATGAAATTTCTGTAGAAGATAGTGGCCATGATAAAGTTGACCATGCTGATAGGGTCATCGGCGAAACCGGAACAGTTGAATTTACTGATTCTGCAACCGAGATTGAAGAAGAAAAATTACGCATTTTACTGTTTCTGAAGAAGTTGGAGAAAAAGCTTGGCCTGTCTACTAAGGACAGCAAAAAGTTTGAGTTGGCTAATGGTGAATATTCTGAAATCAAAGGTGGTGAGGTATGTGACTTAGAGGAGCTAGACTGCAGAGCAGAGAATTCCGAAAGCGGTGGCGCGGAAGATAGTCGTTTATCTGTGCCAGACGATGTTTCTCAATCAAAAGGTAGTTTAAGTTCCCAGGAAGGACAGGGTGCCATGCCAGAGAATCCATTATTATTGAGCAAGAAAGATAAGGATTTTGTTTCCATCGAACAATCTTTAGTGTCGATTTCTGAAGGGGATGAGTTGGTTTCTCTTAGAAACGAGGTCCACTCTTTGTATGAGAGGTTGGAAGCATTAGAGACAGATCGTTGTTTTCTTGAACGTACAGTTAAGTACCTCAGCGTTGGAGACAACGGGCTTCAATTTGTTCAGGATATCGCTTCTCATTTGCAACAGTTACGGAGCATTGGGACAAGAAGTGATCAAGCCGTCCCTTGAGAATTGACGCTGATGGGTTGTAAAGGTACATTATGATACTAAAATGAGAAACTCTTCTTGTTTTAATGTGGCTTTGCTGAATCGTCTTTTGATTTTGTTCCTTTTTTATATATTAAAGAAATCCGAAATTCTGGAAGCAGAAAATTCTCGACTGTATGATGTTAAATCCTGATTTTACTAAAGTTATGTGTTTCCACTCAGAATTAGCCCTTTGTTCCTAGCCTCCCACCTTTATCTCCATATCTTTGCAATAGGGGCTGTTTTTATAATGTTTCATATGCTTTGTGAAGGAAGAGAAAATAATGATAGTAATTTGTGGCTTTATCAAATAATGACAATGCTTTGTGAGTTTAGTTCTTTTGTGTTAAGAAGCACAGCATGATTTCTTACTGTAATTAATTGTCACAATGCAGAGGTGATGTTGACAGATGTAGCTGATTGCTTTATAAGCACTAGAAGACTGTTCTCGTTCTGCATTGTACATGTAATGTATAGAAAACACTATTTTCTCCGATGTAAATTATTTCAATTTGCTTTCTCGAGCTGTTTTAAAAGGTTTGACTTACAAAAGTAACGTACAGGTTGTTGGGATATGTGGTAGCTCTTAATTGGGTGCATATAGTGCTTCTTTTGTTACACATGCTGATATATTATTCATTTTGTGTGTTCATGCGTGCACATTTTACAGTTCTCATTTCTTCTTCTTTTTTACTTTGGGTTCGAAATTTCCAGTTCTGAGTTGGGACTTTCTTTTGTTGAGAAAAGATTTCTCTTATTGCAAAGGTTTAGCATTTTACAATGTCTAGGTCGACGCATGTGTTTACCCAAGTAATTTTGTGCTGTCATACTTAACATGTTTTTCGAATCACTTCATGGACAAATCATATAAAATTGTAGTCCTTTGTCCCGTGAAATTTCTGGATATGGGTTTTCAAAAGCTCTCACCCTCTTAATATGTATCTTTTGTTCTTGCAGATGTAAGTGAGAGTAGAATTCTGATGACCCTAGAAGCACAAATATACTATGGTCATAGGCTGGGGAGAAACGTGTATACAGATTCACAGGATGTCCGTTCACGGCATTGCTCAATGCAAAAGATCTTGACACCGTACATCGGGTTGCTCGCTTAGATCCCCTTTCTTTTTTGCGGCTTGTTTGCGTTTTCCACGATAGTATATGAAAAATGGTGAGTCTTTGCTTAGTTGAATCAGAGTTTGAAGATTCTTTCTTTTCCATTACAGAAAGAAGAGTTTTGAGTGATTAAATTGTACAAGAGTTGAATTCTATTTAGATTCAATAATACGATTCCTATACTGGTTGACATTGGAAAGTCAGCTAGTTATTTTGTACACCGGTGAGAACAGTGATTTAACCTGTATATTTTGTTATTGCCTCTTGGCTCTAGATTGATATGTCATATGCCACTATTTTCCTTAGTTGCTTCTTGGACCTGTATAGTATCTAATATCTCATGTTCATCCTAAGTTCTGACTTATCCGAATGCGATGCTCATTGCTTTTGTCTCGTTGCATTAGTTACTTGAAGCACCTTAGTACTTATTTATATTATGGTTAGTAGCAAAGTTTGTTAAGTATAATTTGCTGCGACACTCGTCATGTTTCAGAGAAAATGTAGGGACTCTGTTCCAAGTCTTACTATAGCATGCTCTGTCAAATTCCAGGAAATCCATTATACTTGTGACAAGGGGACTCCAGCATCAATGTTTTGATCTGGGCAGACTACAAAGTTACCTCGAAAGGCATCGATCCATGTCCTGGACATAGACATGAAACAATGCCTTTCAACTCCACTATTTTTCTGAACTTTTGTTGAGAAACTGCGCATTTAAATCAACTCGTCGTATTTTATTAGTTTACTAGATCTATCACATTATATGACTGGAAGTGCCGGAGTTATTTTCGAATCACAGGGGGATGGTCCTACGGTTTCACGAAAACTTAAGGGTGGTTAGAGTAACTTTTTACCTCATGCTTTTGATGTCTTGGTTATTTCATCGGCGTTCGGATCCTCGTGTGCTGTCGATGACTATCCAAGTTTCGCTGATTAAAGGAATTTCATGTGCTGCTACTTCTTGTACAGCACCAAGTAGAAGGACCTGCACTAGCAGAGGAGCTTAATCTGTCCTTGTTTAGCTACAAATCGAGTTCTTATGGTTTGTCAGGCGATGCATATCTGTACTGCATATGCTTGATTTTGGTTAATGTAGTTCCCATGATTCACATGGGGAAAGTTTGCAGCTCTCTCGACTCCTGCAGAAACTTCATACACCTGCAAAAAAAATTGCCCAAGTCGCCAGGAGAGCCAAAGTAGAAATTCGGTTGTCGAGTTTGGCCAATGTTAGGTGCATTAAGACTAGTCTAGAAAACCGACATAATATTAAGTTACACGGCAGGCTTGCAGGTATACAACTAAGCACGCGAGCCATATTCAACGCTTAATGATAGTTTGTCACATCATTCGATACACACCGTCTCGTGAATCGGTCGTGCTTAGCTAGCATCTGATAGTTTAGAATAAAGGAGATGGGCAGCTGCTTTGAGTCAACATTATGATTTGACCAGCAGCAAAGTAATGAAAAAAAACAAGATTATGATTTGACCAGTAGTAGATACCCATTAAAGAAAACAATGAAAGAAAGGAAAACAAAGTCATACTCTGTAACATATATTTCTGTTCCTGTGACATCTGCTTTATGCTGGTGTTGACCTTATTACATTGTTCAGTCTACTAAATCCACCGCCCAACTTTTCGTCGACTTTAAAACTTCGATGGTTTTTTTGGGTCTGACTTTGGGAAAATAGTACGTGATGCGGTCGGCCAAAAACACCGTTTCCTTAATGGCGTGCCCGAAGGGATGCAAGGATCGCTAGGTCAAAAAACGGAAAATTAAGAAGAAATTTATCAAACATAATCACATATATTACTTGAAAAAATGAATGAACGAAATATATTTTTGATGTCCCCGACGATGTTTAGATATAAATTGTTGTCGACAATGAAAATATTTCTTAATCGATTGGACTTTTAAGCGATATAAGCGATTATTTTCGCGAATTTTTTTTCAGATCATTTATTCTCCGTGAAATAAACGGAGTGTAAGAATCAAAAACTAGAGTTGCATAATATCTAAAGGGAGATTATAGCGTTTTGATAAATGTCAAATTTCTACAGTCTGAGGATTTCCGCTAGTAATGATGTAAAAGCAGGGTTACCGAAGAAGACTATTTTACTATCGATCTGCTTTTAGGTACATTGAGTGTTTCGGACGTTGCAATATGAACAATCATATTATTCACCTAAAATGTTTGTTTTATGCTAATTGTTTATATTAGAAATAGAAATTCTTGTTTGAACGTGAAACTTAGTGACTCAGATATTTCCGAAACTCGTTATACTACCTAAAATTGACAAGATTTTCCTAATTTTACCCCAATTTATGCAATGAGAAAAGTTGCTGTGCCGGCCTCTCCCAAACATTCGAGGAAGTCCACTATTTCACTGTCATTCTCCCTTCAAACCCCAATCTCACGTTCTGCGGTCAAAGATCAAATTGCTTGGTGCTGGATTTATAAGACCACTTCAATTGGAACCAAAAAAAGGAAAAAAGTAATGAAATCCAAACCATGCCCCGACAAATTTACCCTAATTTTTTTTTGTGATATAAAAAATTCCAAACTATGCCCACTATGACACATTTATCCTAAACTACTTGTACTTATGTGACAAGTGTACCCTCCATTGAGTTTCCGCGAGATGATTTTTCAGTCAAAACGGCGTTTTTATTTCACTTAAGTCGCATGAGCGTCATATCAATAACGTTTGCTTTCTGGCGTCAATATAGACAGATTTTTAACGGTCTTCATTGACGGAACTTTGATAAGTAAATGTGTTACATAGGTACAAGCTTGAAATTTTTGGCGTCTCATAATAAAGTTTATGATCCATGCATAGTAGGCATAGTTTGAAGTTTTTGGTGGCTTTTGCCCCCAAAAAATCACGCATACATAGGCATGTGGTTGAGTTATGAACTTTAAACGTCTAAAATTCGATTGTGATCGGCCTATAGATATACGGAAAATTCAACAAGGCCACTAACTTGCCTTGTATTCACATGCCGCTACTTCAAATTCAATTCATCTCATGGCCTAATCCTAGAAGGCCAGAAACCCCAGTTTGTGGTACACGGAGTGTTTCGTACGTCGTAACACGAATAATCATATTATTCAGCTAAAAATGTATATTTCATGCTAATTTTTTATATTAGTAAACATATTTAAGCACGGTAATTCTTGTTTGAACGCGAAATTTAGTGACTTAGATATTTCCGAAATCCGTTACACTACCTAAAATTGACAAGATTTTCCTAATTTTACCCAAATTTATGCAATGGGAAAAGTCGCTGTGCCGGCCTCTCCCAAACATTCGACGAAGTCCACCATTTCACTCTCATTCTCCCTTCAAACCCCAATCTCACGTTCTGCGGTCAAAAGCAAATTGCTTGGTGCTGGACATTGAAGACCATTTCAATCGAAAAGGAAAAGATCGATATGTCACCACGAAGTCAAGTTATGAAATCAAAATTAGACGTCTAAAACTTAATTGCGATCGAGCGACATGTCTATCGAGAATCGCTACGTCGACGGGCGTATAGTCAAATATCATTCATGAAATGATGATTTTTTTTCTTTTTTTGGTTGCTCAAGCCTTTTCAAATTCGGACTTTTGAAACTGCGGCTAATTGAGTCAAGTCAGACGATTGACATCCCAACAAGGCCACTAAACTTGCCTTGTGTATATATATTTACATGCCACTACTTCAAATTCAATTCATCTCCTAACCTAATCCTAGAAGGCCTAGAAAAACCCTAGTTCCATCTCCAGAATGGGTTGTGATCACATTCATCACAACTCCACAACAACCATCGTTTTGCTCATTAGCATCCTCTTCATTGTTTCAAGCAATCTCGACCTCACCCTCGCCGCGAGATCTCTGCGAGAAGAAGAGTGGTCGAAGAACATTAGGAATGGCCTAATAGAGTCGCTCCAAAGGGGGCCCGTGCCGCCGTCGAGTAGCTCGTCCTGCACGAACATCCCCGGGCAGAACCGCGGCCGGTGCACGTTGAGCGGCATGAACGTTGCGGGCCGTCTCTTTGCTCGCAGACCGAGAAGCACTTTCCCGAGGGCCATGATCGCGAAAATATAGGACGACGGGTGGTAAAGCTACGAGACAAGATCCGATCTCTTGATATGTGGTTTTGGGACTATGCCAAGCATGTAGATAGCTAATTAAGCTAGGAAATGAAGCAAAGATTGAGTTATAGTTTTCGACCCTTTGGCTTTGGGTTCCTTTAGATTTCAACTTAGTCATTCTCTGAAGCGAATTAATTGTTTGTTCATTGCTTCCTTTGATCATGTGGTCTTGTGAGTTATAATAAAGATCTCTGTCCACGAAACCGTATGTTGGAAATTAATTAGAAAAAGAAGGCAAAAGAACTTTCGAACCGTGAAGTTGCTCATTTTTTTTCCAATTTAGCGTTTAAGCTTTTGAAATTTATATAATCAAGGTTTTGAACTTTGTAGAATTATTTTAATTAAGTCAATTCAATTCCAAATTCAGTTAATTAGAGTCGACAAAACCGGTTGGATTTGACAAGAATCTAACATGGAGTACTTGTTCACATTTCAATTCAATTCCAAATTCAGTTAATTAGAGTCGACAAAACCGGTTGGATTTGACAAGAATCTAACATGGAGTACTTGTTCACATTGCGAACTATCAACTAATGCATTAGACCACCGCCCTCAGCGACTACGCTGGCTTCGGGCTCCCCTCCCCCCACGAAGGGTAGGAGTTCGAATCCCAGTGCTGGCGTTAGGGATTCTTAAGCGTGACGTCGTGGTGGTGGGTCCTGCGCTAGCGTCACCCCGGGTTTACCTCCTCGGCCGTTGGCCATGCGGGGGGTTCCCGGGTTACCAAAAAAAAAAAAAAACTAATGCATTAGACTAAAAATAGCGAAGATGAAAACCACCGGACCTTGAGCAATGAGATTTTTTGTCACAAAATCGTAATTCAGCTTTTCACGTTGCTCCAACGAACATGTAGGCTCCAATTAATTTGATATGGAGTCAAAGAGATTCGATCATAAATTTAAAACATATTCAAGAACTTGAAGAGACAGATTAAAAGGCAAAAGGACACCAGAAGTACCACAACTTGTGTACGGAAATCACTTTGGTGCTATAACTTTTTTTTGGAACACTTTGGTGCCAACTTTTTTTAAAAACGATCATTTTAGTGCCAATGCTGACGTGGCTCGCCGGAAATCCGATGTGGCGCTGACATGGCTCGCCGGAGAGGTCTAGTCAGCATTAAAAACCAAAAACGACGTCGTTTAGCTCGCTGACGTATACTTTT